AGGTAGTCCACCTCCTTGATGATCTTGCTGCTGGGGTTGCGAACCTTGTCAGCCTGAAGAGATGATCTAATCTTCTTCAACTGTGTGGCTATCGGTTGTTTGCCTTGAGCATGGTTGGGATGGGATAAACTAGTTGTTTGATGTGGGTTTCTTTTGTGTCCATGAGGATGAGGTTTTAGAGGGTAAAGTGGTGGTTTCCTGTGGGTGGTTGCTGGTTTGGGTGGTGTGTGGAGGCTGAAGCTAAGATGGTGAGAACGGTGGTTTTAGGTGGTTCAGGATGGGGTTACGGGTGGAAGGTTTTTGGTTCATAGTTCAGGATAGCTCACGGCTTTAGAGTTAACATGATTCCATGTTCTTCAACAATGTCTTCTCTTCTTATAACGAAGGAATAGCAGAATTTCATTCAAAGATAGAAGATATATTATTAAGTTATAACTTTTAGTTGCCTCTGATTTAGTGCATTACTTACTTATTTGTCTATTGTAACGGGTACATGTAATAGCAAATTACTATTATTATCTTAATTTAAATAAAAACTTGGTATAATATTTTAATTATATTTTTTAGCAAACGGGTCCGTGATTGTACTATTTTGAATGAATTGGGCGACATGCATGTGCATGTCTCACTTTAGCAAGTGAATTAAGCTGAGACAGATAACTAATAGTAAACAGTACAAATAAATTGTGAACATGCAATGTTGCAAGTAGTGAGAGTATCAAATCCGTTAAGGCCGGTCATGAGCCACTCATACCAACTTGGTCGAGCTCTCATCCTCAGGACGCGATCGACATTCACATGGAAAGCTCAGGATTGGAGCAAACCACACACTAGTCCCTAAAAAGAATATACTCCTTCTGTCCTAATTTAAATGTCGCTTTTGGGGAGTAGGAATTTTTAAGGGAATATGTGGGATATGCCTTGTCTTCCTGAAAAATTATTAATTTGTTTTTTTCAAATTTTAAATATTGAAGTTTGAAATTTTAAACTCCAAAGACATATATGAAAATATGTAAAATATGTTATTTTAAAAAGAAAAGTGACAACTATTTTGAGACAGACCATAAAGAAAGAATGACATTTTTTTTCAGAGACAGAGGGAATATTTGTGTAAAAGGACACATGCAAAATTAATAAGTCAAACCAATAAGTTAATTATTTTTATTTTTATTTTTCCTTGGCCAGTCACACCCACTCACTATTAGTCCAACATGGATCCAACCTTTAATTTGAATGTGCCACTTGGACGAAGAAAAAGTGATGTGGTTAGGGACAGATTTACATGGTTCAACGTGGACATGTACTTAATTTTCTCCTTTTTTTTTTTTTTTTTTTTTTTTTTTTTTAAAAGAAAGTAACCATTTAATCTTTAGCCCCAATATTTTATTTTATTTTATTATTTATTTATTTTTAATCTTTCTAGTGCTCTCTTTCTCTTGACATTTCTTATCTATATATATTTTTAATTTAATTTCTTCCTTCTGCTTCACAACTCTCTTTGCTTGCTCTCTTTAAGAAAGAACCACAATACCCAAAAAAAAAAAAAAAAACTTATATGGAGCACCACAATTTGCTTACTTCTTTTTCATTTACACATGTAGAGTGTTGTGGTTTGGCTCATTTGAGGGACTAGTAAAAGGTTCGCGGAATTTATTCAGTGCAATTTGGTCAGCACACCAATTTGAACTAAATTTTTTTTAATTTCAATTGTAAGATTTCGATTCAATACTCTCAAACATAATTGAAGTGTTCAAGCACTTCTCCTAATCGTTGAAATTATATCTTCCATCAACTAGTTCGGTCATCTCAAAGGAAATAAGTAAAAACTTTTACACATTGTGTCTCCTACATTTTGAAGGGGTCGAATATATTCCATTCCTTCATTGGTAGATATACTTGATCGATGTTGTCATGCATGGAGATGAGAGGTGGAAAAGGAAAAGGAAAATGGTGGACTATGGAAGGGGCAAATGGATCGATTTGAAGATGCTATATTATATCCGAATATAACATTGTTTGGTAGGCAAGAGTCTTGTTTGGTAGGCAAGGATGATTTGCCTGCTACCACCAGGGATCTCACTATCATTATATATATATATATATATATATGCATTTTGAGCCCTTGTGAGGTTCCCAGGCAATCACCTTGTCTAAACTGACAGGCTTTTCTCCCTCATGCTAGACCTTTTCTTCTTGAAAGTCTTCAATCCAATTGTGATATTACGTGAAGTGGCAACGCCTATCAATTATATGTCACTCTTGTCATACAAGGACAAAATTAAACTGTTGTATTTAATTTTTTTTTTCCCCACTCATTTTCTCTACTAAAGCTTTAGCTAGTCGTGAACAGGGACAGGCCTATCAAGAGCTTAATTTTAGGCATTCGCTCCATTGAAATTTTTTATTTATATAATGATCTATAATTTTATTTAAAATTTTAAAAATAGCTTCACTAATTTTTAAAAATACCCATTATATATTATTACTCCACTCAGTGACGGACCAAGAATTTTGTTCGAGTCTTTTAGGACATACAACAATAAATATAAAAATTTTAATTTTTTGTGTCTTATCCGACAATGTGTGTGCAAGTGTGAGACTTGGATTTTTTTTACGTTTTAGTTATGTAGATTACCATTAGAAATTAAATAAACAGAAAAATTAATTTTTTTATTCTAAAAAATATTAGTGGATGCAAGAATATATAGTTAGTATTTTAAAAAATTAAGTGAGAATATGAGTGGGTTAGATAAAATTGATTATATTAAATGTGGAGACCCTAAAGAGTGATGAAAAAGAGATGAACATTTTTGAATCCAGAAAAAAGTGGTTGTGGGCAAGAATGTAAAATGTGATATTTTTACAAATTAAATATGGGCATTAATTTTATAATCTTGAACAAAAGATATAAATAATAATTGTTAGAATATATTCTATAATATATTATTGTCATGTATTTTTAGAATATACTCTATAATATATAGTACTTATCTTAAGCTACTCTCATTACGATATATAATATTATCTTATATGGTAAATGACTTAATCTTTAACCTCTTCTATATAAACGTTCATGTATACATGTCAATAATATTATCTTATATGGTAAATGACTTAATTTTCAACTTCTTCTATATAAACGTTCATATATACATGTCAATACAATAAAGAGTTTTATACTTTCTTTTATTTTTAACATGTAGTCATTGCCGAGATGGGCTCATATATATCAATACAATACAGAATTGTAAAATCGTAACCTCCAACCCTAACGTGTCAAAAGAAATAATTACTCGCTGACACGTGTTCTTTTAAGGCCGGTCAAGAGCCACTCATACCAACTTGGTCGAGCCCTCATCCAGCATGATGCAAGTAGTGACTTTATGATCGACATTGACAGACGGTTAGAGCACTGAAAGGGAATATATGTTTGTGTATAATGGCACATGCAAATTTATAAAGTCAAATCCTATAAAGTACGTAAATGTTTGCTTTTTTTCTTTTCTAGACAAACACACACGCTATTACTTTAAAATAGGACCCCATCTCATTGGAAAAGTTAGACACTGTTGAAAGGTTTCTCATTTTCAACTTGTTAGAATGTATCTGTACACAACCAAAATAAAAAATAAATAAATAAATAAAAATAAATTAAAAAAAAAAGAGGAATTGTCGACATTTGATAGGGGAAAAAGTTTTGAGCCCAAGTCTTTTATGGGTAATGTCCAGTTTTCGCACCCTGCAATGACTCAAGTTTGGCAACAGCTTTGGTCGGGGTTGATGCCTGGATATTGGTGGTATGGTGCGACACTTGGTTAGAGGTGAAGGACACGGGGTGGATATAGTTCGGACACAGTTGGGACACGGCATGGTATATTTTATAATTTTTTTTTTTTAGATAAATGGGGTACCTAATGTAATTTTTTAGAAGTTTAAAAATAAAATTTTGAAAAATAAAAATAACAACTACAGACAACAGAGTATTACACAGTAAATTTATTTTTTCTCACTTCCTTTCCCAGTCTTTCCTCTTCTTCAATTATCTCTATAAATGAACAAAATATTTATTATTTTTTTTTTTTAAGTTATATGAACAAGACTTTGTGAAAAGACAAAATATATATGTTTATTCAAATACATATTTAGCCCATTATAACTATGTGTCTTCTGTATATCTTCGTTTGGAATTTAAATCAATTTTATTTTTCATTTATTTTCTGTTTTGTCTTATATATATTTTTCTTATAACAAAGATGAAATTATTTATTTTTTGTTTTTTGTTTTGTTTTGTCCTGTTATTTATTGTTATTTTATTTGTAATTTTATATTTATATATACCTATTTGTTATTAGGAAAATGAATGTGCAAGGTTCTATAGTTTGAATATATATATATATATATATATATATATAGGCGTATTCTTGTCGTACCTATTTCGTTTTTTTTTTAAATTTATCATATCACCGTATTCGTATTATATCGTAGTCGTATTTCGTGTCAGTGTCCGTTGTTCATTGAAAATCACACACATACATCCACGTCCTTATTAAAGTTCGACCACCCAAAACAATATTATTTGTACATTTTTAACACATACACTCGTATACTCATACAGGTAAACTTTCTTGCATTAAATTTTTTTAGCGCTCGCGATAGTCCTTACGCCCACCCCAATTTCAGTTTTTTTTTTTTTTTTTTTCCTTAGTTATTTCGAATCTCTTGAAAAAAAAAAAAAAAAAAAAAAAACTTATCTTCGAGTGCGCGTCTACTCATTTTTTAATTTATTTTTTAGTAAAAAGATAATTAATCCATCTTATCTTCTCTGCCGACACCATATTCGTCCATATAACACGTGCCCTTCCAGTAACGCTGCCACGTTAACCTCCAATGTCACTAATCTTCACATAACGTGTACCGATGACGTGGCATGCAGCTTGACTTCCTATACCCACTTTGACTTCCTATATAAACTCGACCTCATAAACACAGCTCTACATATATATATACAATACACACACCCATCCAAGCGAAGGATAGGTATAAACCTGTGTTCAACCATTGTTTTTTTCCGAGTCTCTGCTGAGTTTTTCAGTTTAATTTTAGGGTTGAAGGTATGGCAAATTACGGAGACAAGTACTATGGCAACCAACCGGACCCCAACCGGGTTCGCCAACCTAATGTACATGGACACCCAGTTCACCAAACTGATGCTTATGGAAACCCGGTTCGCCTTCGCCAAACTGATGCGTATGGAAACCCGGTTCGCCTTCGCCAAACTGATGAGTATGGCAACCCGGTTCACCACACAGGTACCATGGGACACTATGGAACCACTGGGGCCACCGGAGCCTATGGCACCGGCACCAGAGCAACTGGTACCACAGGTGCGTACCCGGTTCGCCAACCTAATGTACACGGAGACCCGGTTTTAGAAACTGATGCGTATGGAAACCCGGTTCACCTTCGCCAAACTGATGAGTATGGCAACCCGGTTCACTACACGGGTACCATGGGAGACTATGGAACCACTGGGGCCACCGGAGCCTATGGCACAAGCACCGGAGCAACTAGTACCACAGCTGCGTACCCGGTTCGCCAACCTAATGTACACGGAGACCTGGTTTTAGAAACTGATGCGTATGGAAACCCGGTTTGCCTTCGCCAAACTGATGAGTATGGCAACCCGGTTCACCACACGCGTGGGAAGAAGGGTTTCATGGAGAAGATCAAGGAGAAACTTTGTGGACACCATGACCATTATGAGGACCATAATCACTATTACTAGAGGTGTTCTTGCATGCTGTAGCCAGCTTATATATACATGTGTGTGTGTGTGTTGGGTTACATATAAAGTACACAGCTACATGTGTGTGTGTGTGTTGGGTTACATATAAAGTACACAGCTACATGTGTGTTTCGTTTGTATTTGGAGGGTGTGAAGGTTTACTTTACAAACGAAGTGCAACGAAGTGCATGTGTAATTAATAAGCAGGGTTGGAGTTGTGTTAGCCGACTGCACCTTGTGTTAAATGTGAGTTATGAGGTATTTTTAAGTAGACGATTTTTTTGTGATTTATAGTTGGGCTTTCCCTTTGCTTCTCTTATCTTTATCTCACTGTTACGGTTTTTTTGTCTCTTCTGGTAAATAAGTGAGATTGGGCCAGTAGCCCATTACAAAACAGCAAAAAGAAATCCTGCATTGCTCAAAAGATGCCCATTCCAAAACATAAAAAACCATGTTTTCCAGGCCCAAAAAAATATTACATTTTCAGAAACTGGAGCCCATAGCATACCCAGGCCCACTAGAGGTAACAACATTCTAAGCCCGAAAACCCAAAAGAACTGGCCCAACGAGGGCCCAGCCCATGACAAACTACCCACCTACCTAAGGTGTTTGCTAGAATTACAGCAGCAGTTGCACTGCGAGGAAGGGGGTGAAAAAAAAAGCAGTAACAATTTCAAATTATCTAGAAAGAGTAATTAAAATTTAATTTTTTTAAATACAAGAATCATATATATTTTCTTTTTTCCTCCTTTACTTTTGGATCTAAGTTAATGTGAATTAAAAAATTGAGGTTTATATATATATATATATATATGATATCCTCAAATAGTAATTAAAAAATTTCTCTCTTACCAAAAAAAAGAAAAAGAAAAAAAGAAATAATAATTAAGTTTTATTTTCCTAGCCAAACTTTTTTTGTTGAACTTCCTCTCTTATGTAGGAACAACGAAACTCTACTAGCCAAACTTGCCTCCAACCTCTCTAAGATGACGCTATCACAGGACTTGGAAGTATACATCACTCTCGGAACCAACATAACAGTCAACAACCCACTTACCAGGATAAGAATTATACGCAGCAATGCCACTTTGATAAGCCCCAAGAAAAAAATAAAAAAATAAAAAATTGTGGTCACGTCACCAAACCCTCAAATCGTTTCCCAAAGTCAGCTTCAAATAATGGTTAGTCGTTGATATCTAACCGGACACTCGAGTCACAATAATCTTTGTGACGACCTACTTGGTAACTCAAAAGACCTATTGGCTCAAACATTCTCACTACCACCATTATCATCTCCGTTAATTGCTAGACACGTACAAGAAATATACCTCTAATCACGGATGGTTCAATTAGTGTCTCAATTGGAGCAGCAACCCCTTTTGGGGTAATCCTTTATTCTATATGATCCGACTAGTCACACTTAAAACAAACTCCAAAATTGAGTCGACTCCAACGGCACAGGATTACTAGGCACCAATCGTGCTGACTGGTGTCCCGGAGGATGAGAAGAGTTACCTTTATGCTTTTTCCTCTCTTGGCTCTTAGAAGAAGTCCCCAAATGCTTTTTGCACTTGAAGCAAGAGTTTTAGAGATAGAAGCAACAAATGACAAGATGAGTTGTTCCTGAAGATTGTTTTTGAAGATTCTACCATTTTGTTCATGCCATATATGGTAAATACTACGTAGTAGTTGAGATTTCACTGTAAAAGATAAAAGAGATATTACTACAGTATTAGGTTACAACTTTTAGTTACCTCTGATTTAATACATTACTTACTTATTTGATTATTGTAACGGATACATTTAATGGCAAATTACTATTTATCTTAATTCAAATAAAAACTTGGTACAATATTTTAATTAATTTTTGAGCAAATGGGTCGTGATTGTACTATTTTGGATGAATTTGATGACGTGAGAGTTCTTTTTCCTCTTCTATGTCAGTTGAGGCTTTATTTTTCTTTTCTCTGATTGTTTTCTTTTCTTTGTCTACTTGTTCTTTCTCTATTTATGGATGACCAACTACTCCATTAGCTGGGTGGATTTACTCTCACTGAAGATGAAGACATCACCATTAGTATTACTGCCGAGGACCTTACAGAAGGCATTAAATGGTGCAAACACAACCTTATAGGAAAATTGCTGAAAGAGACCGACATTAATGTGGGGGTTGTAATACCCCTAGTTTTCAAAAAGATACAATGGGAATTTAAATTTGATTTTATTGTATTTTTATTTCATTATGTCATTTATGTGCTCATTTGCGTAATTGTTTAATTGTTTCTTTATTTTAAAATAATTGTGTATTTGTTCTTGATTCTAAATTACTTATTTATTTGTTTTAAAGTAATTGTTTAATTTTAATTGTGTATTTGTTTTAAAGTAATTGTTTAATTTTAATTGTTTAGTTGTCTAAATTAATTGTTTTATTTGGTCTTGTATATGATATAGGATTAAGGTTTTATTTTTATATAGTATGGACGCAGACTTATATTAGGTTTTAAATTAAACCCGGTAGATATAGAGTTACGCAGATTAGGGTTTGGGACGTCTATATATATTTTCTTTAAGTCTGCTAGGGTTGGGAACAATCCTACTCACGTAATATTTGTGAAGAGGAAAACAGAGGCTCTAGACTAGTCTTGAAAGAAACAGAGAGGGTCTCGGGTGATTTTCTGTGAGGCTAAAGGAGGAAGACTGGAGGAAGAACAGAGAGGTTGCTTCAGGATGGAACCAAGAAGCAATAGAGGAAGGGAACTGTGAGTAAAGCAGAGGGGAAACAGACTTGGAGAATTCTGAAACTTAGAGACGGCGTTTAAGGTTTCAAACTGGAATCGTGAGGCAAGTTTCAGTCTATTCCTTTCTTATAAACTTGTGTTCTGTGCATTCTAAATAGACTCCAGGGATGTAATAAAACTTTAAAACAAGTGTTTATGCATAATGAATTAAACTGAAATATGTTCTATGTTTTGTGTATAACTGTGTTTGCTTTCTTGTATAGACTGCTTCGATTCCGATTTAAACCATTGTAAATCAATTTATAATGGAATTCAAAGAATTTTTAGGGCTGTTTAGACCTTGTTTGAACTCTGAAAACTTTAGGATAAAACTGAGAACAGACGGTTGAAGTTTGGCGTGGAAGAAGAAGACGAACAAAGGAGTAGAGAAGACTCAAAATAGGAGAGGAGAAGGCTCCAGATTGTGGGAGCCGGCTCCCCCCTTCATAGAGCCGGCTCCAAGAGGTTAGGGAGCAGGCTCTAAGGTAAAAAGAGCCTGCTCTTGGTTTTTAGAGCAAGCTCCTTTGGTTGGGTCTTGTTTGGGTGCGTTCTGGAATTTGTCTGGGCACTTTTGGGCCATGTTTGGGATTTTAAATGGTTTCAGGGACTGGAATGAAAATTCTAAAAGTAATTTCAAGGGATGTTAAACCATCTAAGTGTATAATTTGGTCCATAAGGCACATGGAATAAACAATGTAAAAATAAGCGACTTTGTATGCTGCTAACGGATAGGAAGGACGAGTGCGTTAAGTTTTGTTTTAAAAATTTAACGGACTGTTGCATGAAATCTAAACATGATATTATGCTATATTGGGACCCACAATGCATAATTTATTCTAACATGCTTAAGGTTTTCACAGTGTGGGAGTTTTAAGTAATGACGCACTTTGTTGGCGATTGTAAAGTTTCTAGTTATGTAAATTTAATTTAGCAACTTAGATGACTGGAGGATAGTTTTTAAATCTATGTTAGATACAGAATAGGGTTATGTATCTATTAGACCTTATTTGTGCATAGGTTGGATTTTAATTAAGGAACTAATAAATTAGGTTTCATTAATTAAATGGAGATTGTTATTTTAATGGTTAAACTGTTCTATATATTTCAGTAACTATTGGTTAGTACTGTGGATTTTCTGAGTTATAGTTTGTCATTCTCAGCTTTATAATTGACTCTTACTATTGTTAATATTATCAACTGCTGGACTGTACTATGGGTTAGTTGAAATTTAATTAAATGAATTAAATTGTCAATGACATGGATGGATACTGGATCTTAACTTGATGAACTATTAAACTTTGTCTCGTTAATTACATGGTTGGATTTTGAATTTTCAAGTTGATGAACTGTTTAAATTCTGTATATCAACTATTTGGATTACGTGGATACGATTTGATGAACTGCATAAAATTTTGTATCATTCAAGGATCATTTGCATTATATGTACCGGAATGGGACGGTGACATATTAGGGATTGATTAGATCAAAAAGTTAAGTCCTACCCCTTCATACATAAGGAATGGATTAACTAAAATAGTTAAATTCTACATAGATGCATGTCCTGTCAACTAAAACAGTTAAACAACATAATGGATATTTGTTTTATCTTTCTGCACTAGGAAGGAATTTATATATATATTTATGGTACCGTAATACGAGCTTGAGTCTCCTGATCACGGTTAAGGTGCGTATATTGCAAAGGTTGAGTAGTTAGATATAGCTAATGTTCCCTGGTAGTCTAGGTACTTGGCCGCTGAAAAGCGTGTTTTATATGTCACCTACTACCCAGGCTGAACTATGTTATAGGGTAGTGAGCATCCTATAGTGTGTGTATATATATATATATGGACTATTGTAAATATTACCGAGTTATCTAGGATGTATCTGCATATCAAATTTATATACGGATTGTAGTAGATTGGAACTTGCATGTGGGCCTGACCCACTCCTATTTTTCAGGTATTCGCCAGTACCAGGCTTAGAGTTTGATCGTGTTGATGCAGATACAGACATTCACTCTTCCGGTTTCATAGGATTTCCTTTCTATTTTGGTTTTAGATTTTAATTCTGTAAATTTATTTAAAGGTTTGGAATTAGGGGTCCACTAGGTGGATTCCCGAGTTGTACAGATTTAAATTATATTAATTTATTATTTAAGATTTAAGGATTTTCATTTTAGTTTTCTTTCTGTTTATTATTATGTTAATCTTAATTCAGTTTGATTCCTATTTGTTTACATATTGATTGTTTGGTATCCCTCGGATCTGTACTCGGACTTGATCACCCGTGGCTCTAGAATCGAGGGGAATCACAGGGGTCTACGAAATACCCTTGGAAAATTATGGGTCTTTTTGTCTCTTAAAGTCCTGAAACTCTCAGAAAACATATACCAATTCTTATTTCAAGAGGAGACAGTCTTACAACGGGTTTTTCTTACAGGACCGTGGCATTTCAATAATCGCCTTATTATCCTGATTCAATGGCGCCGAAATTTAG